ACGACCTACAGAAAGCCTACAACGGCCAAGAACTGAACGTTGAGCCAGCGTATCAGTATTCGTCCTACTCGGAGAAACTGCGCGGGGACTTGGCATCGGGGGTAATGCAAGGTGAGATAGAGTACTGGCGGTCCGAGTTCGCAGCACCGCCGTCGCCGCTCCCACTTCTTCCATTCTCGGCGGCCAAGAATCGCGTCCCGTTGGCCGCATACGCGCACAACTCGGTGAGTCGCGTCATTGACATGCAGCTCTCATCGCAGATCCAAGACGCATGTCGCGAGCGGAAGGCAAATCTATTCCACTTCCACCTGGGCGTGTTTGAGGTCCTCCTATTCAAGCTGTTCGGCAACAGCGATGTTTGCATTGGTATGGCCGACGCCAACCGCTGGGACGACCGAGTCGCGAAGAGCATCGGCATGTACCTGAACTTGCTGCCGCTCAGGTTCCATTTGGAGAATCAGCACTCATTCGAGGAGGTGCTGAAAGACACGCGCAAGAAGGCTTATCGAGCAATGTCCCACTCGAGGCTGCCATTCGATGTTTTGCTCGACAACGTGAGCTGCGAGAGGTCGACAGCAATCAGTCCTCTCTTCCAAGCATTCATCAACTATCGCCAGGGTGTGAGTGAGAAGCGACGCTTTGACAGTGCAGAGGCTGAAGTGAAGTCAATTGATCTTCCGGGGTCCGGTTACGACGTGTCTCTGGACATCATCGAGAATCCAGGGGGCGAAACTCGGGTCACTCTATTGGTGCAGCGCGGTTTGTACTCTGAAAGCGATGCATCCCAGCTTCTGGACATGTACTTCGCCTTGTTGAACGACCTTTCTCGGTCTTGCGGAATGGCCTTGCAGGACGTGTCCTTGTTCTCAAGTCAGGATGTCAGCACTGCGATCGAGTTTGGAAAAGGTAAGTCGGCTGTCTACACATTTAACATAGACCCGGAGCGCTAACAACGTCTTGCAGGTCCAGTAATGATTTCCAAGTGGCCGGAGACTTTGGCGCATCGTATCGACGAGATGATCGCCGAGCACCCGGACGAAACCTCAGTCAAAGACTGCAACGGCGCGTCGTGGACATACCAACAGCTTGATCAACATGTCGGAAGGATATCATCCGCACTTCTCAAGGCAGGCACGAATCCAGGATCGGTTGTGGCGGTCTTCCAGGAGCCGTCGCCCCACTTTGTGTTTTCCTTGCTTGCCATTCTACGAGTTGGCGCTGTCTACGTTCCCTTGGACTGCAACATCCCACCAGCGAGGCTCCGCGTCATGATGGAAGAGTCTAAGTGCTCTGCGCTGCTTGTCAACACCACGACGGCTCCTCAGACCGAGAGCATGGAACTCTCGCCATCCGTGGCTGTTCTGGATGTCCTCCTTCTCCAAAATGGGACATCAAGCCTTCCTCCGGTCTCCGCCCGAGCGAGCGAGCCGGCAGCTATACTGTTCACCAGTGGAACCTCGGGAATTCCCAAAGGCGTGATGTTGTCACACGGTAGCTTGCGTAACCACGTAGAAGCCTTGGTGCACACGCATGGGTTTGGACGTGAGACGGTCTTGCAGCAGAGCTCCGTGGGTTTCGACATGTCTCTGAACCAGATCTTCATGGCGCTCGCCAATGGAGGTACTCTCGTCATCGTTCCGGAAGTCCTCCGCAAAGATCCTGTAGCCGTGGCCAACATCGTGCTGGAAGAGAAGATCACGTACACCAGCGCAACCCCGTCGGAATATCTCGCCTGGCTCAGGCACGGCGCGGCTAGCCTTTTTCAAAGCACGCACTGGGCATATGCCACGGCGGGTGGTGAGAAGTTCTTGCCTGAGCTCCTGCAAAGCTTCCGTAAGCTCGGTGCCCGCTTCGAACACGAATTCCACTACTTCAACGCTTACGGCCCGACCGAGTGCGCCATGTCGTCAAACGAGCTGGATCTCAGCCTGCTGAACCGCAATGATGGCCTTGTTCCAGCCGGTAGAACCCTTCCAAACTACGGTGTCTACATCGTGGATCAAGATTTGAGCGTATTGCCAATCGGTTGGTCCGGAGAAGTCTGCATCGCGGGCGCAGGCGTAGCCATGGGTTACATCAACAGTAGCGATGAGTCGCAAAGCAAGTTCCTGCACGACCCTATGCCGACTTCGATGGCTACACAGAACGGGTGGACTAGAATGTACCGAACTGGAGATAAGGGCGTCCTCAGATCAGATGGTTCCTTGGAAATCATCGGTCGCATCGATGGAGACACGCAGATCAAACTCAGAGGCCTGCGTATCGAACTGCAAGATATAGAACAGTCCATACTGGACGCGGCCAAAGGACGTGTAAAGATGGTGGCAGTAACGCCCCGGGGTGACCCTGCACTGTTGATTGCACATGCGGTGCTGTCGCCTTCGGATAACTCGGTGGAGAGCGAGATCCAATTCCTCGGCGACCTCGCCGCCTCGCTGGACCTGCCGCAGTATATGCGACCCGCGGCCATCATCTCCGTTTCCTCGATGCCACTGAATGCAGCCGGCAAAGTGGACAGAAGAGCCCTCCGAGCACTCGCTATTCCAAGCACTGTGCGGGGATCGGAATCGACAGAGGGGCTGACAGAGATGGAATCCAAGCTGGTCCAGGTCTGGCTAGATACACTGCCGGAGCAGATGCAGGAGGTGCATCGTATTGACGCCAGTTCTGACTTTTTCCACGTTGGTGGCAACTCCATGCTGCTCATCGAGCTGCGGCAGCTCATCAACAAGACTTTTAAAGCCAGCCTGCCCCTATTGAAGCTCTTTGAGAACAGCACACTGGGCGCCATGGCAACCATGATGCAGGACGTATCTTCGGATGCTGACAAGCCGATTGACTGGGAGGCTGAAACCGCGATCCCCAGTGACCTTCTGGAAGGAAGCACACACCAAGCTCCGGGAGTAGCAGTGCAGAACCACACGTCTCCCAAGACTGTGGTAATCAGCGGCGCGACAGGCCTCCTGGGCAGCTCTCTGCTCCGACTGCTAGTTCAGGCCCCCGATGTTGGCAAGATACATTGCATTGCGATTCGCGATATCAGCAAGTTGGCCGAGTTTGCAAGCTGCTCCAAGGTCGTACTGCACAAGGGTGATCTTTCTCTTCCGCGCTGCGGACTAACGGAAGCGGGGGCCAAGTCGATTTCAGCCTCAGCAGACGCCATCATCCACAACGGTGCAGACGTGTCGTTCCTCAAGACATATCAGTCTCTCAGGAGCGCCAATGTATCCTCTACAAAGGAACTCGTGCGGCTCGCGTCTACTCGTCGTATTCCGCTCCATTTCGTCTCGACTGCCACGGCAGGCAAATTCAACAAGTCCGAGACGCTGGCTCCAGAGTCGCTCGCGCGCTTCCCACCTCATCCAGACGGTGGCGCAGGGCTAGCTAACGGCTATGCGGCTTCCAAGTGGGTCAGCGAGATTTTCCTGGAAAAGGCGAGCCAGCAGATCGGCCTGCCGGTGTTCATCCACCGGCCCTCAGCCATCATGGGCGATGATGCAGCTGAGGATATCATGTCTAACCTCCTCGAATATGGGTCCCTGATCAAGGCGCTGCCCGACTTGAGCCGCTGGACAGGCTATGTAGATCTTGTCTCTCTCGAGAACGTCACTGAGGGCATCGCTCGTTCGGTCTTGCAGGCGACTCCAGGTGCTGACAGCAACTCGCGAGTCGAGTATCTGCACCACGCAGGTGACCAGATCATCCCCGTGCAGAGTATTCGGGAGCTGTTGAGCGGCGAGGCGGGTAGTGGGCTGGATTCGTTGCCCATAGGCGAGTGGGTGGATGGTGCGGTTCGGAGCGGTATGAATCCTCTTGTGGGCGAGTTCCTGCGCGACGCCGATGCGCATGGTGGACTGCAGGTCGGACAGAAGCTGTTGTTGAGCAAACAAAACTAGATGCTGGCTGTGGTGATGGTTATGGGAGATACTTTACTTTGTTACTCACTCGAGAGCACATATCAGGGAGCTAGGATAGGTGTTGTGGAATTGCTCATGTTAGGAAGACTTTGGTGGTATCCGGCGTAGTTTGGGGAGTGGGTACAAGGTAGAGATGTCATTAATATTGGTTTCGTGCGCATACCTATTCTATGGAATCTGAGGCAGTTCCGGATGAGAACACGATGCGCGTTAATCGTTGACGCGTGCTCGGCGCGTCTGGAGATTTGGAGTTCGAGAAGCGGCGCTGGTGGCGCACAGGCCGGGTTGACGTAATCACATTTCCAGCCGATGACCTCAGCATCTAGCTTTCACCCTTCCCTGCGTCCTCTAAGTTCAAGTCGCACCACACAATATCGCTTCATAGGGCAACTGTCTTGGTCGCGGCCGCAGCGACAGCACGTTCATATCAGCAAAACCTCCTCGCTATACCGAAGATGCTAATTGACATAGTTTCTTCTTTCGTTGCGTCATCATCTAGTTCACTGCACTTCGCGACCGTCCTATCATCTGGTCAAATCGACATCTCGGTTATGTTTACTGCGATACGTCGAGGAATTGGCATTAACATGTGGGTTGTCATATCGTGGAGTAGCTGGCGGACGCTCCCGGATCACAGTCGCTAGTGTCTACCTTCGTGCTCTTAACTCTTGACGACATCTCAAATTTGATGAGGTATACGGCGCATGGCCAGGCCAACAAAATTTTCTTCTACTGACGACTTTCCAAAGTGGGCAGTCTTTGTCATGGCAACGTTCCTTCGACATTCATTGTCACTGGTCATGAAAACCCACGGGTCGCGATACCTGATCAATCATGAATTGGTTGCGACTCTTTCACTAATTGTTGTATACAAACATTCTCCTCCTTGGCGCGTGCCCTTCCGTGGAACTTATTAACCCCGCTGCGAAGTCTGTCTCGCACTGTTTACGCACACCGAAGTTATTCCTTCTCTTCCTGCCCGCTACGTATATAATCTCGACCCATTCTTCCCTCCTTCTCTATACCCCGCCCTCTTATTAATAATCTCCAAAAGACTTGAAGCTCCAGCTATATTCTGTCAAAATGGTTGAGTTTAGATACAGTCGACCTGCCGGTAACCGAGTCTGGCGTGTAGACAATGTTCCACGCACCGCGACTGAAGACGACATCCGCGATTTCTTCCAACAGCATATGATCCTCGATCAGGTTCGCGCAGCTCATCCACGAACAGGGGCGAATTCGAGTGTATATGTCATGTTCGGGCATATGCATCCTGTACACATAGCGAGTGACTACATCCGTGGCAATCGTGTGCGCGTGGAAGCTGCTCCTTCTGGCAACTATATAGGTAAGTGTTCGATTTTGACAAGCCCTTCGCAGACTATTTGCTAACCTTTCCACAGTCAACGACAATCACGACGGTTTCGTTCGCCCTGGACTTTCTAGCCCTGACTCAGCCTTACCCGGACGGCCTTACGGTACTCGTGGGCTTACCGACTCGGACTTCCCAGCTCTCGGGATCACTCGCGAAGACGAAGAACGTCGGCGCGAAGAAGAGGCCGTGCGGCGTCGAGAAGCACGAGAAGCAAGAGTAAAGGAGAGCCAATTATTGCAAGAAGAGCACGAGAAGGTCGTGCGGGAGCGTGAAGAGGAAGCTCGAAAGGAGAAAGAGCTAGAGGCTCAGGCCAAAGCTCAGGCGGAGAAGAAGCGTTCAGCTCTCGCTGAGCTAATTCCACGAGTTCTTCAAAATCTGGGTGACGTTTTGCCCCCGCATCGCGTCCCTTCTCCTGATCTCGATAATCGAGAAGATACGCGGAACCGAGTACTCTTCATGACCGACATCCCGCCCGAGCTCGATAACGATGTAGTCATGGCGTTTCTCCACCCGTTTCGCCCCGAAGGTATCGATCGTGCTGAGCTCGGAGGAAATCGCATGTTGTCTGCTATCATCTTGATGCAAACAGCTGAGGGCCGCGACGAGGCTGTTGCTCAGCTCAATGGCACGACACTTGCAGGCCAGAGGGTTGTCCTTCAGGCTTTCAACAATGTCACTCAAGATGTCCTGGACCGTGTCCTAAACCCACCCGTTCCCAGCGCCCCTAGCTCGTCGAACCCTCCACAGGCCTCGGGCTCCTACTCCCCATTTGGAGCTTCCCCAGACACCACGTCTCCTGACCCGCCAGCTCCCGATATGTCGGCCCTCACGGCCGTGCTGCGCAACTTGAACTTAGTCCAAGACCCGACACCGGCATCACCGCAACCAGCTCCCCGTGGACGTGGACGTGGACGTGGACGTGGACGTGGACGAGGATCTTCTTCCAACCGCCGCTCCTCTGGACGAGGACGGGGTCGGGGCACCGCGCAGCCCTCCGGTCAAGTAGTACAGCCACCATGGAATTACAATCAGACAAGCTACGCCCTGAGTCGAGCCGAAGCTGACCGCATCAATGCAGAACGGCAGCGTCGTAATGGAAATATCCGTGGAGGCCGCGGTGGTAGACCAGGTGGCCGAGGAAACGGACGTGGTCAGTAGGTTGGAATGTCTCTTGCTTCGAAGATAGTGGGTGTTGTTGCAGATTTTGATACGTTTCGGACCTTTCGGATGCCTAGCGAAATGGTTTCCTTTCTCGACTCCTTCTTCTTATATTCCAAGAGCAGGGCAGTTCGGGTGGACTAAGCCCGGTACCCCAGCATCAGCACGACGCCCAGCCCGTTAGATACCGCGTAAACAATTTTTCTTTTCCAAGTTTTCTGATTTTCGAATCTGCTTTAAGTAGGAACACCATTGTTAAGGCTGGAAGTACTTAGCACCATGATCTTTAAAGTACCAAACCCCCGTCTTCATTTTCCGTCTTTGCCTATAGTGGCCCGAAGTGAGCTTTTCCAATACTTTCCAAAGCCATATTGTTTCATTGACCTTAACTAGATGCCGTGGCGTGGTCATGTAGGGAAAAAAGAAATGCGACCCACTGCACCCATGTAGTCAGAATGCTTTGTCGAAAGTGCACGATCGTATGTAACAGATTGCGCAAGAATATCAAAGGCAGTAGAAGCGAGGCAAGAAGTCTGTATGGCTGTAGCAAGTTCTCCAAGTGGTAGTGTAGGCATGGCAGGAAGATGGGAGTTGATGAATTATGTGCATGAATAGACGATTCGCACGCTAACCACCCAAAGGTGTCGCTACTAAAACGCAAGTAGGTATAAGAGCTATTCCACCATCCTTTCTAAAAGAAGCGACCGCAAACACTTCTACATCCCCCAACCTCTCCGAAACCACCACTCAACCGAAGTGAGGAGCGTTAAGCACAATAGCGCAAGAAACACCACCAATAGTTCCCGCAATGGGAATAGTCATAATCCACGAAAACACCAAAAGCCCCACTCTCTGCCAATTGACAGCCTTGAGCGTACCGTTGCAAAGACCCACACCAACCGTCGCACCGGTAATGCACATGGACGTGGAAACCGGAAGCGAGTACTGCGAGAAGATAAGCACCGTAAGCGCGGCACCCATCTCCATGCTGCAACCTCTGCTAGGCGAGTGATAAGTAATCTTGTTACCCATGACCTTCATGATGTTGTAGCCGTAAGTAACGAGACCGAGAGACAGGGTAGCGGAGAGGACAGCGAGTTGCCAGACAGGTACGGATGCTTTGCTCTGCGAGGCTTTTCCTGTGTTCCACGCGCCGTAGATGACGGCCCAGGGGCCGACGGCGTTTCCGATGTCGTTGGCGCCGTGAGCAAAGGAGGCGGTGCAGGCGGTGAGGACTTGGACGAAGGAGTAGGTGTGCTCGACTTCGTTGGAGTACTTCTTTGCGTGGCTGTAGACGCGCTCCATGCGGCGGCCTTCGGGTGTGCCGTGGATACCAGTTTGCGCAGCGTGGATATCGTAGTTTACGCCGTAGAGGGCGCCGACGACGAGCATGGCGGGGATACGCTTCAGGGTGATGAGCATGTTCTTCTTTTCGTAGATCTCGCCCGTTTGGATCTTGTTCTCGTGGAGGTAGCGCATGGCCCAGCCGAGAGGTCCCTTCTTGGCGCGGAGCTTGGAGTGGAAACGCTCTTGGCCCTGAGCGACGAGTTCCTTGTAGCTGGGTTGTTGGTGCTCGGCGATGTCGGTGGAGACGGCCATCTTCTCGTGGTCGTGGACGGTGATGCCCTCTTCGGAGTCGTTGTTCTGCTCGGGCTTCTTCATCTCTTCATCCTCTTGGACGACGGCATAGTCGGGAACAACGGCAGCCTCGACGCCATCCTGGGCGGGACGCTTGAAGAGAAGAGGGCCTTGAAATACGTGGTACCAGCGGACGGTGTGGTCACGCTTCACAACCTTGGCGTGTAGGTAAGGGACGAAGAAGAGGAAGGACAGGAACGCTAGACCGACACCGCAAGACATGGTGACGGTTGCGACATACCACGCGGGCTTCTTGTTGAGACCGAGGTTGGGCGATCCCTTGTAGACGATGGAAAGTGTGCAAATGGTTCCAGCAACGAGGAAGAAGAAAGGTGCAGTCCAGATGGCCCATGGAATGGGGTTCTTGCGAACGTGGACGGTCATCTTGATCAGCATGAAGATGATAGCACCAAAGCAGGCAGAAGCAGCAGGTGCCATTCCGAGACCTGCGAAGATGGCACCAAGACCTTTGCCCTTGTTCCAACCCCATTGCACGTTGGCAGCACCGGCAACGGCGACACCAACACCAGCGACGGAAGAGATGAGCGAGTAAGACGATGAGACGTGAGCGGAGTGCTTGGTGCACCACTGTGAACGGAGTCAGTGCCTGTTCCACATGCAATGAGTACAGTGACACTTACCATAACCCACATGGAGGCACCAGCGAGAGCACAAGTGAATGCGAGCATCTGAACACCGGCATCGTCCTTGAAAGCATTGGGAGGGATAATGCCGTTCTTGATTGTCTCAGCGGTACGAGCACCAACGGTAATGGCACCGACCATCTCGAAGATGGTACCTAGAATCATGGCCTGACGGTAGGAGACCGAGCGGGAAGACACGGAGGTAGCCCATGCGTTGGCAACATCGTCTGTACAGTATTAGTCTGGAGCATGATGAAGTCACAGTAGTTTTCCCGTACTGGCACCGTTGTTGTATGCATCGAGCATGGCAAAGAAAGTGCCAATGGCGAAGACATAGTTGTACTGTGTAAGACGCGCCATGATGACTGATCCTAAGGCAGTACAAGTCGCTCAATGACAAAGAAGGCTGTTTGAAGTTGGAGCTGGGATGCCGAAAGTAAGGGAGGGGCCTCTGTGAGACATGTATATATATTGAAAGAGACGCTTCAGGTCGCTCTTTGCGGCGGAGAAGGCCCGCATTGGCTTACGGCGTCAATCCCTTCGATAGATTCCAGACTGATGGGTGACATCCGACGCCCTGCATCTCCAGCTACTATGCAGCCACCACTCAGAGGCCGCAACGTGAGAGCACTTGGAAAGAGAACGTGTGCTCGAAATGAAGCTGTGATTGGGTAGGACGTAGCAGGATGGCGGATTTCTTGCCAAGGCCGTTAAGATCTCCCCACTAGCGCAGTCAAGCAACTCTGGTGAATGATGGCGGAGCTTAGCGTTTTCAGCACGCAACCTCTGATTGAAGCTACCAAGCCGATAACTTTGACAGCCATGTCTCTTGGCCGCATCTTGGCAAAGCTCGTAGCGTTCGGGCGTGGAGTGGTCTCGTGTAGAATCGGCAGCCAATGGGATCATCGCACGCCAAAACGTGGGTGACATCAACGGTCGCCAGACGTCGACATCCATCTACTAGCTGAACCAGGCCCTCCCACGGCCCTGGGTCTACCACCCCTCCCACGCATGTTATTTGCTCATGCGTTAATTCACCTTCCAGAACAGTGTCCGAAAGCTGACGGACAGGCCTAGGAATTTGCAACAGACTCTGCTTGGCGTTTCCAGCGTGCAAGCCGAAGATTAACGCACATACGCTACGCGACTGACATCGTGAGGTTTACCATCTCCGGAACATCGTCTAGCGGAGGTAGCTCCTGCGCGATTTTCGAGCACATCCTTCGCGAACGCCGAGGCTGCTGTTCTGACCAACAGTGAGTCTGTATCACAACACATGGTGTCAAAAAATGATTCAAATGCCGTTGAATAGCATCGGGAGGGTGTCGCGCTTTGATGTATGAAAATGTGGATGAACCCGTACAAAGCTAGTGACCTGCGAGTAGCTGAGGTTGTCGGCGACGTCCTGTGTCAAAGTCTCAAAGCGAGCTGTAATCTCGGGTGTAAGTCAGCCGATATATTTGATCTTGAAGTGCAACCCGGACAGAGGGGACCTCGTATGGCATGCGTTGGACCAGTTTGTGACTTGCGGGTCAACTCAATTAGAGTCCGGCTCGGTGGTATCATGCGTAAGCTGGAATCCGTTCACCAACAGAGGCGAACTCTTGGCCCGCCAGTCGCTATGAGGAAGTACCTCCATGATGGACTCACCATCTGCATAGATGATCCCGAGGGGCTATGTCAGCCATCAGACTACGCAAGTCCGGTCTCTTGGGATGTGTACATCAGATAACGCAGCGGTACCCAGCGTTGCGCGGCGATGTAAATCATATCGCCGCTGGTGTGGGATCCTGTCGATGCCTCCGTGATGATCAGGCCGCCGCGGGTGGTTTCGGAGACGATATTGATTCCGCTGCAGTCGCCATCATCCACAGCTAACCAATAGATGCAGATAGATCGGTGCCTTCTTTTCTTAAGATCGATGGCCCTCAAAGAGAGCGTGAATGCGTCGCGATCTCCAATACATTGCGTCGGAAGCGTGACGCGTCAAAAGTCGAAATCCCTTGTCCCTTCTCTTTCATTCAAATCGCGCTAGTCCAAATGGGCAAGCTCCTCTTCCTTACCAGAGAAGGACCGAAAGACACCGGTTGCCGCAACGACATCCAATTCATGGCGTAAGATAGTATCGTTGGAAAACGACAGAGGAGATGAAGTGCAAAAGAACGCGTCAGGAAGTTGCCAGAGGTAGTCAACTTAAGCTTGTGGATCGCGCTCCACCCCAGTTCGGTGTGTGCCCATCATTCCACAAAACAAGCCGCCTGTGTGCCGACTTATCCGGCTTCGCCCTGCACCTACGGCATCTGTGTGACGAAACGAGGGAGGATTCAGGTACCCGTCTTGTGGGCATCTGTGATGGGTGGCAAGCTTTTGTTTTAAGCTTTTGGGTGGGTTTGAATGTAAAGTGGCGATCTTTGCAGTTGCGAGGTGGTGGAAGACGAGAGGGCGATGTACCGTGGATGCACACTCGAAGTATACATTAGACGAAGCTGCCGACGACGCTTGCTTGGAAAATAAATTACTACTATTACATCTAACATACGAGACCGCCCGTTTTGTCCCTTCCATTAACGCCAGATCGTAGCAATCCGAACCACATTTTCCTAATATCCCACGCCCACTTCGCCCGGGAAGCTAGCCCAGAATTCCTGTGTCGCATTGATCATCATAGCCTCTAACTCTTCATTCGTTAGGGCGAATGATTCGAACGAGTCGAGGTTAAAGGTTTCGTCGGCTTCCAACGGGGGCACCGCTGGAGGCGTGTTCCACGAGAAGTTTGATGAGTAGCTGTTGGGCGTGGGCGCGGCAGGCATGGGGCTTGTAGCGGGTAAGGGGCTTCTAACGGGTGGGTTGGTAAGGTTGGCAATCATGGGTTTGCGCTGATCGTTGTGCTGTTGTGAAGGGGACCTGCTGGAAGCGATGTCTCGAGCATCAGCTGGCTTTTGTACAGGCGAGGGCTGCAACGCGCCGTAGTCGATCATGGCATGTCGCAAGGCTCGTCGTTCTTCGGGTGATGCCGGGCCGTCCTGGCCAAGTATCGAGCGGTAGTACGCTTGCATGCGCCTGATGGTATCATACTGGTACTGTCAGTGTGCGTGATTTCAACGTTGTGAGTTACTCACCCAAGTTTCGGCCATGGGCCATTGCGTCTTCATCTCCTTCAAGAAGTTGCAGCCTTGGATGACGCTCTTGCGCGCCTTCTCCCGCCAGCGAGGATCGTCATCACCACTCGGGAAGTTGAAGCTGTACAGCATTGCGCCGACCGCAGTGTAGATGGTGAAGCCGATCCATGGCACTAGGCCTCTCAGGAAGTACACGCCGAAAGTGCGCATCTCCTCGAGCATGTCTAGGACCATGACGGAGTCTTTGAACAGCTCCTTGCGTGAAGTCTTCTCCCACTTCTTCCACATGTCACGGTGTTCGTCGTAGGAGTTGGGCGTCTCTTCGGGGTTCGCCCCGTTCTGTTGCGGTCCAAGGACGGGCAGGTAGGCGCGATGCAGGAACATGTAGCTCATGAAGTGTATGCAGTGCATGTAGCAATACGCTTGGCCTTGCTCGACCGCATTGTGGCTGTGGAGGGTGAAGAGGTCGTACTGCAGGCGCTGCGGGAGCGAGGCCTTCCAGCCTTCGAGTTCGTATATCAGCTGCTGGAACTGAGACGAGGAGGCCCATGGCAGTTCGCTCTTGAGGTCTTCAGAGCACGCCCAGCGCGCGACCTTGCCCCAGATGTTGGCAGCGCGCATACTATATCCGATGATGCCAATCTCTCCTACTGGCAGGGCCACTGGCGGCATGCGCTGTGTGTTGTCTAGCTGGGGTGTGCATACAGGCTCCCCGAAGACGAAGTCCTCGCGCTCGCAGGGCAGCTGAATCTTCATGTCGGCATGGGTCAACGATCGCTTGCGCCCCTTGCCGCCACTGAGCAGCGAGTCCATGAGGAAGCAGGTCCAGGCAGTGCGTCGGCGCACTTCAGCCTCGATGAACTCCTCGCGCGTCGGCACGCGGTTTCGCGGTATGCCCGTCTCGCGCGTCAGGTCCATGACTTCGACGAGCCGAATCGCCATGCCCAGGTATATCCACGCCCGCCTTCCATTGCCGGCGCCCCAGTCGTGGCCCGTCAGCATCAACAGGGCTTGGACGCGGCTTATCGAGGGCGTCTCGAGGTCCTGCTGCAGGATCTGGCGGGCGTGGGCGGCATAGGCATTGCTGGCCTCAGTCTGCGACCGGAAGGGCGAGGGCGGCTCCTTGACGAATCTACGTCATGTTAGCAGTGCGACTGCCTGCGGTGTGGGTGCTCGCATACCTGATGGCCAGTGCCAGGATCGCCCAGGCCATCCATGGCTCGAGGGTGCGGTCGCGGATCCGGCGCAGCAGCGTCGGCGTGTGGTGGAAGCTCCACTTGTAGCTGCATCTGAGGTAGCTGTTCTTGACCTCGTCCGTCAGCAGCTCAAAGGGATCGAGGCCGTCGAGCAGCGCGGATGCCGCATTCGGCGACGCGTGCTGTGCCGGCTGGGTGCCGGTCGGCAGATGTGCGTCATGGCGGCCCTGACGGGGCGCTACAACCGTCGTACTCGAGTTGGCTGGTGTCGGCGTGTCTCCAGCGTCTCCTGCATCTTCAGAGGGCCGTGGTCGCTTGGGCTTGCGGTGTATCGCGCTGGTTCCTGGCGCTATCGACTGTCAACACGCGCACTATAGGGGACGGCAGGAGCTTCGACGCACCTGGGAACTCGCACCGATCGGCGCGCCCGCACTGCTTGCACCTGTCGCACGGCGGCCGGTCTTCGTGGATGCACTTCTGTTTCGCGGACCTGCAGGACACACACGCCACGGGATTGCGCATGGTCGCGATGCCTTCCAATGTTGGAGAGGCCAAACATCGACGGGTGAGGGACGACCCTGCCTCGGTCGCTCTTCCCCGTCGCGATCTGCTCTCCGCATCCCGTGCCTGCCCAACCTTTGCGCTAGGGCGGCCATCGCCGAGCCAGCAACACCTGAACCTTGTTCGTATTTTCTTTTTCCTTCTTCACACAATTCACCTATGGTCATTTCACAGTGTCTGTTTTCTCGTCGCTACCTCTTTGCACCCTGGCTCCAAGTATGTCTGGCCTTGGTCAAGCAGACACTCGGCATGGGATACCCCCAGGAAGGAACGATCCTCGACATCAACCCATGTGAAGTAGCCGCGACAACATTGTCACAGCCATCATGCGATGCAGCATTCGTGAATCAGGCCTGCTGTCTGGACGAGGTTCTCACCAGTTCAACTCCATTTGCGGTTTGCTATTAAAACAGCCATCCTATCTTGTTTTCCTCCAGCGTCTCCTATTTCAAAGTCCAGTCCTCTATGTCCCTATATCGATCATGTTTTACAACTCAGGTCACTTTCCCAGATTCTCTTCCTGGATCTCAGCACTGAAGACTAGACGATAGCCCGATCATCACTGGATTCTTATCCTTCACCCGTGATGACCCTAGCTGAGCCGTCGATTGTACACGCAGAGCCGGAGAAATCCATACCATCGTGACGCCTCTCATTCACCATCAACTCTTAGTTGCCCTTGTGCTGGTCTTTCAAGCCACGTCTTTGTCCAACACACATTCACTTCGCACGGACCCATAGCTGTCGTTCTTCCCCTTCACTACCACAATCTATTCGTAATACTCACGCGATTCCCGATTCGGGCTTAGTGGCGTGTACAATAGCACGTACTCAGCTCCTGCTTAGTTACACAACTCTCGATTCGACATCTGCTTGATAGTCTTCGTTTTCCAAGTCCTACTTTCGTTTGATAACACGCCTACTAGCCACAAGACAACGCCAGCAACTCCATCGAGATATCGCCAAGCGCAATGGCTCACTCCTCGGCCGCCAACAGCCCAGGCTACCCAACATACGCAGTTCCTCTGGCTGGTGGAAAGAGGAAGCGGGATACTGCGAACAGCCAGTCAGAATCGGTGAGCCACTCATCCTCAGATCCTTTCCTTCTAGACTAACGTAGACGTTTAGGCTGAACCCAATGCGACTCCCATCGCAGCGCGTTCAAAGCGGAGTCGCCCAAACGAAAAGGAGTACAACGCCAAGTACATGGCTGAGATGTGCTTCAGCGCGTATAAGGCGCGCTTGCACATCGCCGGCTATATGCAGTATACTGCTGACGTTGCGAACGACTGGCGAGAGGATCTTGTCGAGTTGTTCAGCCACGCCGCGTTGAAAGGAACCATGAAGCGGAATGCCGCCGCTCGTCATGTCATCCCTCGTCTGACAACTCTCGTCCCTCAAAAGAACGAAAAGAAGGGCGCGCTTGTGAAGGACTTTGCGAAGCACTACGAGACTGTGCGAAATGACATGATGGTCATCGACAGAGTCATGGAAAATGGCTTCAAGGTCAACGAACAATCCATCGTCGAAGTACGCGAGTGTCTCAACGGCCTACACTATGTTCTCGCCAAAGGAGAGCAGTGGCGTAACGTCATGCCTTACACACCACTGCCAAGGTACCGGCTTCGAGCTCTCCGCGACCTGATAAAGTACTCACGACCGCACCACCTCCTCGTTGATCTGGTCACCAACATTGAAGACATGGAAGGCTGGCTCAGCCCACCACCTGCGAGTTTCAACTTTCCGACTGGTTCAATCGACGAGACACTGGAGACGTTGCGGAAAGCAACCGAGGACAAGATTGCAAAGACCAGCATCGGCCCCAACGCACAGCAGATGGCAGAATACCGAGCGCAAAAGGCCGAAGCCCTGCGTCTGCAGAAAGAGGAACAGGCCCACCAACAAGAGAAGGAACGACTTGACGAAGTCCAGCGAGTTCAAGCAGAGCGAGATCAACTGAAGCAACAGATCAAGTCGCTCGGGATGACCGCCGCAAAAGAACGCGCTCAAGAGAGTGTGAAGAAGGTCGCAGAAGCTGCAGCAACGGCTCAACGCGATAAATCGTACCAGGATCAGATTGCGCAACAAACAACTGAGATCAACAAGCTCAAAACCGACCTAAGCAACCTGTCTGCTAAGCAGGCAGCCCAAACTAAGTCCGATGCCACTACGACATTGTCACTTCCAGTTACTGCAGGACAGATTGGCACTTCAATGAACTCTTCTTTCAGTAGCAATCAGACTGCCAACAGTAGCTTCTACCAGCCAAAGAGCTCTCTAGGCACTTCCTTCGGAAGCTCTATAAATGGTGGGTCGTATGGGCAGCTCGGTTCATTCGGCCAAGTTTCACATCATCCTACGCCGAAAGACGACGACGTCCAAATGACGGACGCTCGACGGGTTGATAGCTCGCAGCAACACCCTAGCTTTGGTCCGTTCGATCCTTCCACGATAATTACACGCGGTGTGGGCCAGTCAACCCCCTTCAATGCTCGAATCACCAATGGCGCTCCCTCACATCCCTTCGGAATATCAGCCGACGACGGCAACTTCAAGGCGGCTTGCCCAGCATACAAGAACGGTACCTGCACATTAGGCAGGAGTTGCAAGCTACCCCACATCGCATGCAAGTTCTTTTTGAGCGGTAGTTGCAAATTTGGTGGGAGATGTAAACACAGTCACGATCCTTTCTTCCTCACGGAAGCGGCATCAAAAGGCCAGTCAAAACAGTTTTCACGGGCTGACCAAATGGTCATCGATCCTGTCCCTGCACCACGATCCAGCAACTTTTCCCAAACGAATCCTTTTTCAAGTCACCTGCCGGGTGATTCAAATCCTTTCGGTGGGCAGATGAAGAAAAATGGGCGATCTACCTTGCAACCCAAGCAGCAAGATCAGACTTTTGGCTTCCAAACTAGCAACAGCAAGAATCCGTTCGGCCACGCTCCACCACCAGCGCCAGCAGTGCGCAAACCGACACTTGCTGATCGGGTAACAAGGGGTGACCAGCCCACCTCTTTTGATAACCAAACGCCATTTGGTTACCATCTCCCACCAACGGGCCCCCGAGGAAACCGTTCACTCGCCGACAGGATAACAAAGAACGATCAACCCATGCCACATCAACCTCAACATCAGCCTTCTACCATTCGCATCGAACAATCCCTAGAGGACATCATCAATGCATCTGGATCGCGCAGGGACGAAAAACAGGCAAAGCCGCTCCAGTCAGAGACTCTCTGTAGGTGGCAAAAGACCTCGCCAGCCGGATGCACGAATACTACTTGTGGCTATAAACACGATCCTCCGAAGACAATGAGTACCAAGGCTGGGAGGGTGGGCGGTGCGCGGGGTTTGAGGAATCCGTTTAGTCAGATTGGTGATATACTTAGGGGAAATCGGTAGGCGGGAGGCTACGTTGGAGAGTTTGACGTTTGGAAGTCGTCATGAAGTATAGGTAATGGGAAGACAACGAGTTTATCTTGATGTGTCTGGGTCTCATCTACTGCTGCGTATTCTTTATGCTAAGTCGTCATATACTCTACTCTAGGCTCCTACTCGGATGTAGGTTCTTCCCCCGTCTATGCCGACCGCACCAGTGCTCCGAGATACGACTCTATTCACCAATGGTGTTTCGACTTCAACCTGAAACACGCCTCACAGCTTCTATACTAGGATTTTTGCCTCTCGAACAGCCTCCGCTACGTCAAGTGCGGTCTCCGACACTGTTCTGGAGCCGCTGGACAAAGCGCCACTAGATACGAGTTTTCGGACTTGATCACGGACAAAGCCGGGACTCACCCCGTGACCTTTGTAGCCACCAACTCTTTGTTGTAGCACTTCTAGCTATCAACCAGCGTCGAGGCACATCCTATGATCGTGACATTGTGTCAGAACCCTGAAGACTGCGCCTGCATCCCAATACCTTCCATCAACCAAAGAGCCCAACATACGATAAACAATATGGGAATGACAAACATGTCGAACACATCAAATCCCACCAGTGCAGGATGCCATATAGACATCATAAACCACATCCAAGCCATCCAACAAAACTGGTTCATCCACCCCGCGACCCCCGAAGAGCCCATCCTCCCCGCCTCTCTCCTCGCCGGCGTCCCAATCAACTGCCTCCCAGCCCCGATTATCCAAGCCATCCACGAACTCTCCACCCTAACAATCGGCCAACGAGACCGAGCGCACAACCTCCTAAACACCTACTTCCAAGCGCGCATTCGCGAAGGCTCATACAGTGGCAAGTCCCAAAAGATCTTCGCTATTCTAGAAATCAGCGATGTGAAAAAAGCATGCGAGAGTTTGCGGAGAATGAGCCGAGGACGCGAAATGCAAGGCCCCGTTCCAATCAAAGAAGACGAAACAAGGAAGAGGAAGTACTCTATTAGACAGGAGATGAATACCGTTACTGAGGATGAAGAAGACGAAGACGCACAAAGATTAGCGAAACGACTGAAAGATGAACTTTGCGTCATCTCCGAAGACAACAACGAGCCCAGCACGCCAATCTGCATCAACTTCGATGATATACCCACGCCCCCGGATTCACAAGCTACGATAACAGCAACACTTCCTTCTACAACTACCACACCACAGACCCAGCGCCGCTCCCGTCCCCCTCCGATTGTCATTGCTGAGATACCCACGCCTACAGCTACATCCCCTGGTATCGTCCCGCCGTTCTCTTCCTTCACGCCCCTGTTCAATAGCCTAGCCCGGGAGTTTGGCGGAGATCCGGATACGCCTTGTCCGGTGCGACAGAACACGTACCAGCCCTCACAACCAGATCTCCTTAATAGCTATGACAGTGGGAACGGCAACGGGAACGAGAATGGAAACGATAATGCAAACGGCACTCTCTTCGAATCATACATGCGCGATACGTATCCAGCGCCGAGAATAGATCCTCGTGTCCAGGCAGCGCAGAGAGCGACGCATGAGTTTAACGTGAGGAGGATGGAGGTGATTGAGGCGCAGAGAGTGTTTGAGGAGGCGAGGAGGAGGTTTGGAGAGGCGAAACGGAGGATGGAAAGTGTGAGGGGAGGGGCGGTGTGGCGGTGATGGAGGGTGTGGAACTGGGGGAGGAAGGTTGGGTATTGTTACTTGGCCGGAGACCGGTTCATAGAGGTTCTAGAGTAGATATACATTGGGTACACTGCATTTAGCATCGATTACTTTAAGTCTTGAACAGTCCGTTTGACGCCCACTTCTACCAGTCAAAACGCCTAACCCAAAGTCTGAATGCAAGTTTTTTTTAATTCCACTATGATTACAAGCAGGATATCTGCCCTGCCCTGCCCGCATGCCCATCACACCTCACCGCTTCTCCTCCTAATTTCCCCCAACTCAACATCATCCTCATCCATCTCAACCGCACACCCGTTATCCTCCCCGTTCGCTTTATTCACCTCCTCATCACTGCTATCCACATTGACCGGTGTAGCAACCCCCGAATCCACGAACCCTGGCGTCGTACACGCACTGCCCCCCGTCTTCTTCGCCTTGAGCCCATACACAGTATTAAGTTCCTTCCGCATCTTGTATTCCTTTTCACCCCACGTAAGACAAAACCCGATTCCCGCTAGAACCGCGAAGACAATCCACACGCACTTGAGACTCTGGGTAAACGCATTGATTATCTCGGCTTTGATGGTAGGGGAAGTGGCTTGCGTGGCGATGAAAGATGCAGTAGCGCGTTGATACGCCTGACCATTTTCCAGTTTAGCGCGAGCAGTTGCGGAGGAGATGGTAGGAAGAAGAGATGCGAAACGAACGTTGAAGATGGCACCGGGGATGGCGACACCAAAGAGAGAGCCCGTGCCGCGGAGGAAGGCCCAGGAGCCTGCGCTCGCGCCGGTTGTGGATTCGGGGAGCTTGACTTGTACCGCGGGGAGCATGGTGCTGATGACTATGCCGAGACCAGCTGCGGTGATGAGCTGGAGGGAGAGCCAGACCCCAATTGAGGACTTGGAGTTGAGTAGTGTGCAGAGACCTAGACCGAGGGTCGTCAAAGCAAAGCCGATGATGTGCATGGGTTTGTATTTGCCCCAGTAGCTGAGCAAGGGGCCGCCGACTGCTGCGAGGACGACAATAACGAGGGTCGTGGGCATGACTTCTAGACCTGACTGTGTGGGCGAGGAGCCCTTGACTGCTTGAAAGAAAGGCGGGAGGTAGAATTGGAAACCGTACGTTATGAAGCCGTGCATGGTTGTTAATGCGAAAGCGATGTTTGTCGTGCGGTTCGAGAAGACGTGCGGTGGCATGATGGGGTATTTGCAGTAGGAGCAGCGTTCCCAGAAACCGAAGACGATGAGACCCAGGATGCCAAAGACCATGGGTATAACGACGGAGGCGTGGGACCAGGGTTTTGGTGCGCCGCCTGTGCTGAGGGAGACGAGAAGCATCAGAACGGAACCAGTGAGCATGCCGCTTCCGACGTAATCGACCTTTTTCAGTTCTTGCCGGAGGGTCGTTTCTGGGGTAGTGTTACTTCCACCGACATTTAGCCAGCGCCAGATGACGACCAGGGAGATGGCACAGACGGGTATGTTGATGAGGAAACACCATCGCCAGCCGTGTTCAGCGAAGACTCCTCCGAGGAGTGGACCGAGTGTGGTGCCAGCGGCGAAAGCAACGTGCTTGATCGCCAAGTACGGACCTCTCTTTCTCAATGGTACGATGTCGCACAGAATCATCTCTGCAAACAGGTCAATGCCACCGGTCCCTAGGCCTTGAACAATGCGTCCGGCGATGAGCACTGCGCCGCTCTGAGCGCCACCGCAAATAGCTGAGCCCACTGCGAAGACGGCAACAGCAGTCATCATAGGAGTTTTCCTTCCCCACATATCTCCGAACTGAGAGTACAGGGGCTGGAAGATGGTACTCGCGAGGAGGAACGCGGTCGCAACCCAGGAGAATTTGGTGCCGAGATCCAGGGCCTCGGAAATGGTAGGGAGGGCGGTGTTGGTGACACTGCCCTCGAGAGCAGAAAGAAGTAATGGGATGCATATAGCAACGAATGATCGCCAGAAGCCCTCCGATCGCTTCCATTTGGCGGAGGGTGTCTGAGAGGGGAGGGAAGGAGGAAGCGTAGGGCGACTGAGGCGGCGAGAGAGGGTATTGTTGAAGACTTGGGGCTGAGTAAGCGGTATACTTCCCAAGTCCTGTTCCTCAATGACGAAGTCGACTTTGCGCTCCGTTGCAGGTGGTGTCGTACCCATTGTAGAGTCGGATGAAGACATCTTCGAAGAAGATTGAACGTTCCTCCGGTGTTCCTGGAAAAAGACTGATGAGTGAGAATAGCGATATGTTAAAGGAGACCCTGTTCAGTAAAAATTTCTCTCAACAAAGAAAAATAACTCTTCCGCCTTGCGATCGTGGTAGCGAGTCCACGTAGCTTCCAGATATTCACACAGCTCAGCTCACACCGTGGCGTTGACCGTGTTATATACCTCTCTTGTCCGTCAACAGGCCCAACATATCCATACTACCCACTAGATAAACGAAGCATCTGTGATAGTATGTTGCATTACGAATGGGTTGTCGTGTTCGCGCATGGTGAGGATGCGGTACCGCGGTAGGTGAACCCTCTTTACATCTCGCCCAAACGGCGAGGGCGAATGAGCTCGTGTGCGAGGCGGCGACCCTGACATATTTTGCTGCAGGAACGCGCAACTTAGCGGCACCTTCCTGTTGACGAAAATCTGTTGTTGTCAACTTCGACAGTTACGGATGCGTAGCCAGAGAAGGTGGGCTCATGCCGTGTGTGAATCCAGTGGTAGCTCATTGCTGATCTCCAGCCACACCCATAATTTGGCCTGAACCGCTTCGAAGTATTTTTCCGTGCTGTTCTTGCATATCTGAAGGCTGGAGGCGTGGATCATGCACCTTGGAAGATAGGCTGCGTCCCGGTGTGCCTCGGTGCATAGTCCGCGATAAATACTAACTGTGTCTGCAGTCCCAAACTCTTCGAACACTTGAAACTCGGCATGGCGTTCTGTTTTCCTAGGAGGTGCGCGTGTACAGATGACGTACACAGTACATCAACCAGCCTTGAACGCCACAGCTCCGCATTTGCGACGCATAGTATCGACTATGCAGGTGCGTAGTTCCAACTCACCTCCCACACGGGTCCACCAACTCAAACCCTGGCAGCTGCATCCTCTTCAGATTCGGACAGCTTCTCAACAGCAAACTCGCAATGCGCGTCGAATCACTCCCATCCCTAACCTAAAACATAGATATACTCAGTCAGCAACCATCACATACATAAACCATTCAAAAACACGACTCACCTCCTCAACCCAAACCCCCCAATCACTCCTCTTAACAAAGCACTCCACATTCCCTCTAATCACCGCATCCAAATCCAGCCCCTCACATTTCGGCCACGGATCCAAATTCCCGCCATACGCATGAACCACGGAAAAAGAACGGACGAGCTGGCGATGTGCCGGAGAGGTCCAGAAGAGGAGGGCGAGCGGACGCAGGTACTTGAAGTCGGCGCCGTAGAGCGTGATGTGCGTGTACAGGTGGGCTGTTGCGAGGCGGTTTAGGTGGCGGGAGACGAGGGTGAGGGTGTGGAGGGTGGTTCTGGAGGGGAGGTGAGAGAGGATTAGGTCGAGGAGTTCGTCGGGGAGGGATTCGAGGGTTGAGAGCTGCGTGTTAGAGGGAGATTGGTGTCGGGTGCACATTGTGGTGTTGGTGCTCATTTGGTGGTGATGACGACCTCGATAATACGATGATGATATTAGGTAGGCGAGATGAAGCTGCTGTTATGGAACTGCGCAATGATTACAAAAGAATACCTAGGGGCGTAGACAGGTAAGATAAGGAACATTCAGAGTAATAACGCACGCGATATACATGACGATGAGCACTGGCGTGGAGCTATGGATATATCCCATGTCATTCGGCATAAGCCAAGACCAGGGTCCATTCAGGTACAATGCACGGCAGTTGCGAATGTCGCGATCGTCTTCGGATATATCAGTCCTCTTTACCCCGCCCCCACCATTACTACGTGGTTCGGCAATCACACAGGTCAAGGCATGGTATCAGACTAGGAAATGGTAGTAAAAGAAGTAGTGTTGTTCGTCAGATCTATTCAGTCCCTGCTGTATTTCATACTACGGTCTTCTATCCGCATCTAACCTTTATCGGCCAACACGTCTACTTGAACTCCTTCATAAACTCCTCGTGGAACTTGACAATACGCCCTGTCCAGTCGGTTCCAGGGGCAAGGAAGGTAGTCCTGAAATGCAGCGTGCCTTCCTTCTGTCCGAATCCTGTACCAGCAACAACACAGACACCTGTGGCGTCGAGCATGCGGAAGCAGTAGAACTCGTCGGGCGCGCGACCTTCCTTCTTGGCTTGTTGGACGGCCTTTTCTGGGAGGTGGATGGTGGGGAAGAGGTACATGGAGCCCTAATGTTTGTGTTAGCTATGCGATGTGTAGTTGGCGTGGAATATGTACCTGTGGCTCGTTGCACTCGACACCCTCCATCTGCTTGAACGCCTCGTACAAAGCGTACGCGCGCTTCTTCAATCCGTGGAAGATGCCGTCGTACTCCTCCTTGTAGAGCTCGTAGCTTGGCTCGCCCTCCTTTGGTGGGTTGACCATCATCTCCACGATACACTGACCCAAGACTGGCGGGCACAGTTGGATGGAGATGAACTTGTAGACCTCCTGCGCGACCTCGGGGTCAAAGCCGATGAGCTCAAAGTAGCCACCTCGGTGACCACACTCGCCGACCATGCCCTTGGAAATTGAGTGCAGAGAGGCCAGCTCAAGGTGGTCGTACTGGCCGGGTGACTCCTTTTGCAGGTCGCGTAGAGCCTTCTTGAAGGAGATGAACTCGCCAATGAAGACGTTGGTCTGGTAGACCTCGTCGGCGATGACAACGAGACCCTTCTCGGCGGCGAACTTGAGCACAGCCTTGATGTCTTCGGCGGGCAGCGACGCGCCAGTGGGGTTACCCGGGTTGATGACGCAGATAGCCTTGACATCCGTGCCCTCCTTCACAGCCCTCTCGTATGCAGTCGCAATTGAGTCGAGTGAT